TTCACTTCTCAAGAAATTCAAGCATCAGCTTGCAATATTGGAAGATCCTAAAGGCAAAATATAGAATGATGTTGGAAGCATCAAAAGAAGTTGGATAGAAAACAGAGTCAACTGTACAAAAAAGAATTGGTCAGTGTTCAATTATTTCAAGAAGTATACTACAATCAAGAATACAATGGTAGTGAATGAAGAAATCCAAGGTGCTCGGAAGGCACTGGCGAAAAACAAGGCTCCTAGGCCTACAAGGCCTATGAATATTACCCTATCACAGATAGCACTGTACTTCAAGATGGATCTTGAAATGCTCATTTTGACAATAAATACAACACCATTCCTCTTCAATGTGTCACTCCCATACGATTATCTGATTCAAAAGGGTTGATTATCAGCCCATTTCACCTCAGGCATCCTTGTCTGGCTACTGTTCGCAAAAGGAATAGCTTCACTTTCTCTGTTGTGATACTGGCTGTTGGTTTTGTATATATGCTGTTAATTATGCTGAAAAAATTCCCTTTCTATTCCTATTTTATTGAGTGTATCAGGAATGGGTGTTGAATTTTATAAAATGTTTTTTCTGCAAATATTGAAATGATCATGCAGGGTTGTTTTTTCTCCTGTTTTATTTCTGGTATGGATTACACTGATTGGATTTGTGATACTGAACCACTCTGCATACCTGGTATGAATCCTACATGATAATGATTTTTTTTTGGGGGGGGGGGGGAATAAGTTGTTCGATTTCTTTCTTACTGATATCAGCCTGGTTTTGGTATCAGAGTTAAATATGCTTCATAAAATGAATTCAGAAGTTATCCATCCATTTCTATATTCTGGAATAATTTGAATAGAATTGGTATCACCCCTTCCCTAAATGTTTGGTAGAATTCACTGGTAAAGACATCAAGGTACTAACATTTTTTGTTGGGAATTTTTAAATGACTTGATCCATTTCTTATTTTGTTATAGGTCTGTTCAAGTTTTCTACTCCAGTCTGTGTTTTTTTAGGTAGGTCACATTTTCTAGAAGCATTTCCCTTTTTTCCATATTTTAAAATTGGCTGGAGTACAATTAATTCTCCATAGTATTCTATTATTATTCTTTTTAATTTCCTTTGGTTCTGTTGTGAAATCACCCATATGATTTTTAATTTTGCTATTTGCATCTTCTCCTTTCTTTTGTAAGATTTGCCAGTTGATTGTCCACTTTATTAATCCTTTCAAAGAACCAACTTCTTGCCATGTTGATTCTTTCTACTGTTTTTGTTTTCTATTTCACTTATTTCTGCTTTAATATTTATTAATTCTTTTCTTCTGGTGGCTGTAGTCTTAGCTTGCTGCTCTTGTTCTCGTTTTTGGACACATTGGATTAAAGTTTTAATTGTGGTTTTAACTTCTTTTTGATGTGTTTATTGCTATAAATTGTGCATTTCATTTTTGACAGCTTATAATTTTTCTACATTCATACTTTATACATTCCAGGTCCTGATTATTAATGGATGTTTATATCTGTTTCTTCTCATTTTGAGTTCTATCCCATCAAGATAAAATAAGATAAACTCTATTTTGAGAGTGCAGTACCGTCAAGTCAGTTCCGATTCATAGCAACCCTCAATAGGGTTTCTGAGGAACGGCTAGTGAGCTTGCTAAAGTCCTGGTGTGTCGCTGTGGGTTAATGCACCAGACTACAAAGTCCTCTGAACTACAAGGTCAGTAGTTCAAGCTAACCATCTGTTCTTTGGAAACCCTATACAGGGTAGGGTCACTATGGGTCAGAACTGACTAAATGGCATTGAACAACAACAAAGATGTAACATACTCCACTATAAAGTATCTCCCATTCTATCAATATCCTACCTAATTGTTGTTGTTGTCAAGTGCCATTGAGTTGGAACCGACTCATAGTGACCCCATGCACAGCAGAACGAAACAATGTCCGATCCTGGGCCAACCTCACTACCGTTGCCACACTTGAGTCCATCAATGATGCCACCTGGCCAATCCATCTCGTTAGGGGTCTTCCTCTTTTTCTTTGACCCTCCACCTTACCCAGCATGACATCCTTCTCCAGCGACTGTTCCCTCCAGACAATATGTCCAAAGTATGAGAGATGAAGCTTAGCCATCTTGGCCTCCAAGGAGCACTCTGGCTGTACTTCTTCCAAAACAAATCTATTGGTTCTTATGGCAGTCCATGGCACTTTCAGTATTCTTCAACACCACAACTCAAAGGCATCAATTCTTCTACTATCTTCCTTATTCACTGTCCAGCTGTCGCATCCATATAAGGTTATCGAAAATACCATGGCTTGGGTCAGGCGCACCTTAGTCCTCAAGCTGACATCTCTGCTCTTCAATACTTTAAAAAGTTCCTGTGCACGCCGAAGCAGCAGTCAAGAGATCCTACCTAATAGGAACTTCCAAATAACCACTTATTCTTAATGAAGTCCTAGATTCTTAATTCTATCTACAGCAGCACTACTCAACAGAACTTTTTGTAGTGCTAGAAATGTTCTACATTTGCATTAACACAGTAAAGACTAGCAACATGTGACTACTGAAACTGGAAAAGTATCTAGTCAACTGAGGAGTTAAACTGAGGGTACTTCTAACATAGCGTTTATGGCTCTCTGGTGTTCTGTTCTAGAGATACCTGTATCTCAACATAACCATATTTAAAATTGTATTCACATACTACCACACTTTGCCCAGAGTTCTTAATCCATTGACTATAAAGCCAAAACCTTGGAAATCATATTGGGTCTTCCTTTTTATTCCTCCCCTCCCATATCGAATGAAATCACCATATATTACTAATACAACTTCTTAAATTAGTATTAAATTTCTCCTCTCCATCTCTACTAATCTATTCTGAAGCCACTATATTCTGGGCTAAGGTACCAGCATCCTAACCCTGAATCCAAAAGGGAAGTGTTGAAGAGCCACCTGATATTGTTATTTAGAATGGCTTCACATTATCCTTCTTGTTGTTGTTGTTAAGTGCCGTCGAGTCGGTTCCTACCCATAGCGACCCTGTACAGGGTTTCCGAGGGTGTAAATCCTTATGGGAGTAGAAAGCCTCATCTTTCTCCCGCGGAGCAACTGGTTGTTTTGAACCGCTGACCTTAAGGTTCGCGGCCCGATTCGTAATCACTACGCTACCAGAGCATTATCCTTCTTATTGGTTATTAAATGCCGTCGAGTTGGTTCTGACTCATAGCAACCCTGTACAGGGCTTCTGAGTTATGGCTGGTGATTTGAACCACCAACCTTGTGGATAGCAGTCCAGTGCTTATCCTACAACACCAAACCTAAATTCCATGAGCTTTGGGTACTCAAAACATTGAACACTAACTGGGTCCCATATGTGGCTTGCCTATTTCTCATAACATTCCCTTCTGGTTATAGTGTTTCAATCATTGTAAACTATCTTTTGTTGTTGGACCTTACCACATGGAATTTTCTCCACTTGGAATGTTTTTGCCCTTCTTCATCTTACAGATCTTCTTGTCTCCTAAACTAGATTAACTACTCCCAGGCATAAATTCTCAACATTCTGATTCTCCTGATTCACAAAATTCATCCGCTTTCATTAATGTTATTTGTTTTCCCTGAAAGATGGTACATATAAGGGGGCATTAAAAAGTTTGTGGGAAAAAATGGAACTGAAATAAAATGGAAATCTCTCCACAAACATTTTAAAGTCCCCTGCGGTGCAATGAATTATATAATATGGCTCTTCTAGCCAGTCTTTGTAACTCTCGGCAAATGACTCTTTCCTAATGAGTCTGGGTAAGAAAAGATGGGAGAAGATGTTAAAAGGATTATATTATTCCACTGTGATTGTTAACAGGGTTAACTGCTATTGTAAGAACTTGAAACTCTAACGTGGTTGATAATTTTGCCATTCTGCTGGGAAAACAATGACTCATCTCAGAAGCAGGAAGGGATCTCACAACAACCAAGAAAGAAGATCCACAATGGTGTTCAACCTTTGGACCCTGGAATTTCTATGCACTGAAGCACCTCAATACAGGGACTGAAAGCTATGACATCAGAGTAGACAAGAGGAATGGCAGAAGAACAGCAACAGAGAGCCAGAGCACAAGACAGAGCAGTGGACTTCCAGGCCTATGAAACAAGCAAAACTGACTGCCTCAAGCAGAAGTCTTTCTTGTGTAGTAGTGTGCCGTGCCTCTAAGCACTTAGTCTAGCAAACTAAGTTTTCTAAACCACAGAGCCAGAGCTGAGTGTCTTTGGACTGAAGCTTATAGTAGATTGAAGTGCCCTTTGGGAATTCATCAGTAGCCCTAAAAGAGCAGTGTAACACTACATGACCAGAACAGAGGCCAAGCGGCCATGTGGCAGAGGGGTCAAGGACCAAAGAGAAGCCTGGCTGGGAAGAGCCTGTCCTAACCAAAGAATTGTGTCTGGAGCATTTCTGATTCAGAAATGTAAACGGTTAACTTCTCTAATAAGTCCCAAAATTATAATAATTATCTATTGAGTTCTGTGTGGCTGCTGCAATGAATTATCAAACCCAGCTGGGAGATAGAGTACTGCAGAAAATGACAGAATTAGTAAGGAAAGCTGGAGAGCGGAGGCATGTCTGACCTCATCATAATAAGAATGGGCCTTGGGTTGATGCTAAATTTGATTCTCAAAGGATAAGCACTGAACTGAACTACATGGTTGGTGGTTCAAACCTATCAGCTGCAACTTGAAAACCCTGTACTGGTTCGCCAGGAGTCAGAATTGACTCAATGGCACATAACAACAAACCGCTGGTGAAGTCAGAGGTCAAATGATGTCCCCATGCCATTTTTACATCCCCTATATATGTGAGATCAACTATTTTCTCTATGTTATTCAATTCTATGTTATCCAAAGCAGACACAGAACATAATATATCATAGGAAATAATTACTAACACATAATTCAGTTAATCAATAACTCAAAAATTAAATGGAACTATATACAAAAATTAAAACCAAGCAATACTAACCTGGTATTTTCATTATATTCAAAAATCTGAACCTTGGCCATTGCATTTGGACTACTGTCATCGCTTCCTACAGCTATCATGGGAGAATGAGCACGAGAGCTACAAATGAAGAGCAAGAAATGTTTATACAATGATAAAATATACATTAAGAAATTTTTTTGAAATGCAATCAAGCAGATACACAAACTACACATTCATAAAATACCACATTGATAGCAAGCATACATCTGCCACCCACTACCCACCAGACACACTACACTGTAAATGTTGGTTTGAGAAGGTGTCACTTAGCAACTTTGGATACCATCTTTTTGGGTAGTTTTCACCACATTTTCTTATGTCTTAAGTAGACAGTACCTCTTTTCTCAAAAAGGAAAGGTTTCATTCATTTAATATATTTTTTAGCACTTTTTCCTCCTGAAAGATTTGGTCAATAATATGGAATGAAAAGAGCAGATTGTAAAAATACAAAGAGAGTGTCTAGAGGGGCATGGTAAGCAAAAAATTCCAGAAGCTCCAACCTTGAACCGAATACAAGAATGGGTCAAGTACAATCTTACCAAAAGATTATTCATTTAAAGAATTTAATCCAGCAGACGGGAGAACAATTAGACAGGTATGAATGAGTTAAATGGGACAGAGGTAAAAACGGATGTAGGAACAGCCTTGGAACAACAGGGCTCTGGGATGCAGAAATTGGGACATGGTGGGAATGAGGAAAAGGGGGGAATAATGTTAAAATGCTTGGCTGTCTTTTGAACCTTGGTTTTCCATGCATTATATTATAAAACAGGCACTGGAGGGAGAGAGAAAGGAATAACCAGAAATATCACCATAGAAAACTTTTAAGTCCATCTTCTGCCTGTAACTGATTGGAATACCTAAAATGGGGCTATAATGTGTCCAGTAAAGGAGGTTTCCTGAGGAGCCTCTGCATTACATAAGACTATAAAAGGAAGCCTGAACCACACCCAGACCTTCAGAGATGGGAAACTTTCCTCTTGAAAGGACAAGCAGACCAGCCAGAAAACTAGTAGACACTTCTTGAAAGAAAGACCTACAGGAAAAATACGAAACAGTAAGGGCAGTCCAACTGCTACCACAGGAATAAGCAAGTTGCTTGCCCAGGAGACACCAAGGCAAGTGGTTGGGTCTTCTCAGTGCAAATTCTCTTCCAAGACTATGATGCAATGGAAATACACGCTCTGACTGGCGACCATGCACATCACCCATAAAGAGAAGTGACCGAAGAACATCAATGAAGCGGCGAGCTAAGCCCTGAATCATTCAGCAGACTACTATGAACCCAGGTGGAGACCTGGTCAGCCAGCAGTGAGGCAAGACCTGGGGACTCATGGGCCCAGAGTCAGTGACAAAGCCACAGAGGACCAGAGTGGAGAGCGAAGCGAGCAGCTGATAAGAAGAGGGTGGACAGACGCAAGAACACCCACACTTGCAGATGATACCCACTTGACCTGGTTTCAATGACTGGATGAACAGAGCTCAACTAAAAGAAAGAAGAGGGGGGTAAAAAAAAAAGCGTCATCTGATACAACTTGATAAACTTGACCTGCACCTATAAATGCAGTAGCTCAAAAGAGGAAACAAATCCCTGCTCAAAGAATTATTTCCATCCACTCCGCACAAAGCGTAGATAGGGATGGGCAACTTGAACACTGGCTACCCAAAATGTGGAGAGGGATACAAAGATAAGAAGTGACTGGCTTACAAGCTTTCAAGAGTGAACCTAGATCCACAGGGCGGGGAGGATGGTAGAGTCTCCAGTGAGTAGTATCCAATCTGTCTAGGAAGGGCTGATGAAAAAAAATGCAGATGGGTCTCTTACGATGCAAAGGAGAATAATTGTTATCAGGACTGATTGTGAGGATTGGAAATGTAAAGGTGGACATTTTATAGCAAGGAGGGGAGTGATTAACCTTTCAGTCTAGGAGCGGAGGGCACTAGGACTATCAATGGAGAAGAGCGCAGAGCAGGACCCCACCCAGAGAAGCAGTGAGGCCTGAGACAGAGACAGAGAGGATGATGTGAAGAGCTGGAGTGGCTGGGGACTTGAGATCCAGAGAGGGAAAGGGGCTGTGTGCTGAGGACATGGGGGGGGAGGGGATGCCCAGGAGTACAGGGTCTACCCTTTGGTATACCCTTTGGTTAGTTGATGATGCATGGACGAGATGGTAACTATGGCAATGAAACGATGTATGACAGAATGAATGTAAAACTAATGTTCCCTCATGTACAATATCATTCAACAAAACATTTAAAAAATAAAAAAATAAAGAATTTAATCCAGAAAACTTGAGACTTAGGGAAGCCAATTCTGCCTAAGAAAGGTCTGAAGTAGGATCCTAATGAAAAGATTAGAACTTGAGAGAAAAACTAGAAATAAAAACAGGTAGTCCCCCAGGCTACAAAATATGTAAGCACAATCTACAGTTGTTACCAAACCTTGTAAAAACCTATTACAAATTGTGACTTTGTATAACATTTCCATGGAGTGATTGGTGAGTTTGAACTGTCAACCTTGCAGTTTCCAAGGAGTGGCTGGTCAATTTGAAACACAGACCTTGCAGTTCAAACCGATCTTGCAGTCTAGTGCACCACACCAGCATTCCACCCTTAAGGGTTGCCAAATGCTTCCAATGGAGAGCTCACCACAATTTTATTATAATACCATATTATTATGTTAAGAAGCCCTGGTGGTGCAGTGATTAAGTCCTCCCCTGCTAACCTAAAGGTTTGCAATTTGAACCCATCATCAGCTACTCCATGGGAGAAAGACGAAGCAGTCTACTTCCCTGAAGTTTTACAGCCTTGGAAACCCTAGGGCAGATATATATGGTTACTATGAGTTGCAATCAACTCATTGACAGTGAGAATGGGATTATTAAATTAAAATGTTTTTACTGCATTTGGAAGCATTTCTGTAATTTTTTAATGAACATAATTTTTTTGTTGTTCTTAGGTGCCACCGAGTCAGTATCAACTCATAGCAACCATATCTACAACAGAATGAAATGCTGTCCAGTCCTGGGCTAACCTCACAAATGTTGCCATGCTTGAGTCCATTGATGCTGCCACTTTACCAATCCATCTGGCTGGGGGTCTTCCTCTTTTTCTCTGTCCCTCAACCTTATCAAACATGATTATCATTCTCCAGTGACTGGTCCCTCATGACAATATGTCTGAAGTATGAGAGACAAAGTCTGGTCATCCTGGTCTCCAAGAAGCATTCTGGCTGTACTTCTTCTTCCAACACAGATCGATTTGTTCTTTTGGCAACCCATGGTACTTTGAATATTCTCCTTTAACACCTTAAGTCAAATGCATCGATTCTACAATCTTCCTTATTCACTGTCCAACTTTTGCATGTATATGAGATTACTGAAAATACCATAGTTTGAGTCAGGCGAACTTTAGTTCTCAAACTGACATCTTTGCTGTTCCACATATTAAAAGGTGTTAAGTCACAGATTTGCCTAATGCAACATGTTGTTTGATTTCTTGACTGTTGTTTCCATAAGTGTTGATGGTTGATACAATAAAAATTAAGTCCTTGACAACTTCAATCTTTTCTCCATTGATAAGAATGTTATTGGTCCAGTGGTGAGGGTTCTTGTTTTCTTTACATTGAGATACAAAACATAACGAAGGTTGTGGTCTCTGATCTTCATCAGTACATGTTTTATTTAAGTCCTCTTCACTTTCAGCAAGCAAGGTTGTATCATCTGCATATCGCAGGTTGTTAATGAGTCTTCCTCCAATCTTGATGCCACGTTAGCTTCTCGGATTATTTGCCCAGCATACAGGTTGAATAAGTATGATGATTCCGTGTTCCCATGTTATGTTCGAACTGCCCATTGTTCTATGTACAGATAACTCATGAGCACAATTAAGTGTTCAGGAATACTCATCCTTCACAATGTTGTCCATAGCTTGTCATGATCCACACAATTGAAGGCCTTTGCATAGTCAATAAAGCACAGGTAAACATCTTTCTGATATTCTCTGCTTTCAGCCAAGATCCATCTGACGTCAGCAATGATATCCCTCTTTCCACATCCTCTTCTGAATCCAGCTTGAACCTCTGGACGTTCTGTCAAAGTATGGTTACAGCCATTTCTGTATTACCTTTAGTAAAACTTTGCTCACATGGGATATCAAAGATACTGTCCAATGATTTCCGCATTCCATTGGGTCACCTCTGTTTGGAGGGGGCACAAATACAGATCTCTTCCAATCAGTTGGCCAGATAGTTGTCTTCCAAATTTCTTGGCATAAATGAGTGAATGCCTCCAATGCAGCCTCACTTTCTTGAAAGATTTCAATTTTTATTCCATCAATTCCGGGTACCTTGTTCTTTGCCAATTCCTTCAATAGACCTAGGACTTCTAGCATCAGTATCATTGGCTCTTGATCATATGCTACCTCTTAAAACAGCTGAACATCAACTATTTCCTTTTGGTACTGTAACTCTGTGTATCCCCTTCCATCTTCTTGTTTTCTGAGTTATTCAATAATTTGCCCAAAGAATCCTTCAATAACTAAAGTCGAGGCTGAATTTTTTCTTCAGTTCCCTCAGCTTAATAAATGCTAAGCTTGTTCTTCCCTTTTGGTTTTCTAACTCCAGATCTTTGCATATTCCGTTGTAATATTTGACTTTGTCTTCTCGAGCTGACCTTTATTATAATATCCTAAGACACACATTTAACTGACATTAGATACGAATCATACCTAACTATTCCAACTTAGCCTACAAATTCAATTTAATGGACTTATATAAGGAACTCATTCATACTCTGAGGATTGCATATAGTACTCTAAAACTGGCAGGGTAGGATAAAGAGAAATAAAGTATACTAAAGTGTTCTATCCCCTAAGTAATGCCTTCTTCCTTTTGGTAACTTTTGGCCATCCCACCTGCCAGCTCACTCTTGATCCACATACCCTACAACTATCTCAAACCAAACAAAGCTATTTCAGAAGGTTTAATGTCCTAAAAGTAAAAGGCAAAACCAAAATCTTTTAGAATACACTTACAATCTTAGGGTTAAGAAGATAGTCTCATAAAGAGCATTATTACAATAAACAGAGGACTGACAAATGTGGCTACAGTAAAATCAAGACGTTTCTGCTGACTATCAAAAGTCACCATGAAATGTGTAAATAATGCCAAACCACAAACCAGGAGAAATATACTTGCAACAGAGCTCAAAGTAGTAGGATGATAATCCTAAAAACTTCCATAAGAAAAAAGTTACCGACCAAAGAACCAGCATCAGAATGACCTCAGACTTCTCATTAGCACCTAAAGTTAAAACAGGAGTCCTGGTATAGGATAAGTACGGAACTGTAAACTCTAAGGCCAGCAGTTAAAACCCACCAGTCGCTCCTCGAAAACGCTATACCAGATCGTTATGAATCAGAATTGACTCAATGGCATTTAACAACACTTTGCAGTACAGGAGCAGAGGTCCCTAGGACCATCAAGGGAGAAGAGCCAAGTGCAGCACCCTATCCAGAGAAATAGTGATGCCAGAGATGGAGGCAGAGACAATGATGTGGAGAGATGGAACAGCTGGGCACTCTAGTCCTAGAGAGGGAGAGGGGCTGTGTGCTGACGACCAGGGGGCAGGCTTGCAGGGTATACCCTTTGGTTGGTTAACAATGCATGGAGGGGATTGTAACTATGGCAATGAAATGTTAGACAATAAGATGAATGTAAAGCTAATGTTCTCCCATATAAACTATCACATAATTCACAATAAAACATTAAAAAAAAAAAAAAAAAAGTCAACAATATCTTCAAAGTTCTTACATTTTGAGCCAAGAACTCTAAAATTAAATTAACCTAAGAAATAAGCAGTGGGTAAAGTGAAAGCATTTTCAAGTATGTCTGAATTCAAAGTCTGCTATCCATCCCATGTGGGGAAAACATTTGGCACCAAATAAAAAGGAATTTGAAGACAAAACGTGGCATGAAGCTATGAGTTAAGTATCATCAAAAACAAAAATTAATGAAGATCTAAATTACTATTTAAAATTACAATAACATAACTAAAACATACTTAATACAAAATATATCTATGTAGTCCTGCCTCAGGAAATCACTAGTTGTATAAATGTTCTGGAATCCTGGTGTGGCACTGTGGATTAATGCACTAGACTGCAAAGTCAGTTTGAACTGCAAGGTTGGTGGTTCAAGCTGACCAGCTGCTCCTCAGAAACCCTACACAGGGTCTGAATGGGTCAGAATCAACTCGATGGCACTTAACAACAAAATAAATGTGCTACATTCATCTTTCGTATCAGTAAGTATGCTGTTTTTATGTGTTGTTAAGTCAACTCCAAATCACAGTGACCCTACAGGACAAAGAAAAATCGCTCCACAGGGTGTCTGTCACAGGGAGGAAATCTTTACAGGAAAAAACCACCAGGTCTTTTCTCCACAGAGCTAGTGGATTTTAATTGTCAACCTTTTAATTACCAGCTGAAAACTTTATATACCGTTCCACCAGGATACTTATCAATTAAAGCACGTTGTTGTTGTTAAGTGCCGTCAAGTAATAGAAACTCATAGCAATCATAGATAGGGTTTCCAAGGAAGTACTGGTAGGTTTGAACTGCCGACCTTGCAGCTGAAACTGATCTTGCAATCCAGCACATTATCCTGCAGCGCCACAATAGAGATTTGTTTAAAGATAATATGTGAAGTCCTAAAGTACTGAACGATTAACAAAAAGGTTGGTAGTTCAAATGGTACCCTGAAAGACACACCTAGTGATCTATTTCTGCCTTGAAAGTCCTATGAAGCAATGTACTCTGCATACATGGATTACCATGAGTCAGAGTCAATTCAAAGGCAAATAACAACTAAGCTAACAGAGCAAGAACCACAGGTAAATGTAAACCATTTAAAATTATAATAGTAAGCACAAGAATTAAAGTCTAAAAGCAATATTAAAAGTATTTATTTTCAAAGAGTCATGAGATTTTCAACTTTTATTTTGTATCCTTTTATAGATTATTTTAAATTCTTTACCAAGTGATAAATCATTTATATAAATTTTTGAAAATATTTTTAAATCAACCATAGTGCTCTGGTAGCGTAGTGGTTACGAATCAGGCTGCGAACCTCAGAGTCAGCAGTTCGAAACTACCAGCTGTTGCGTGGGAGGAAGATGAGGTGTTCTGCTCCCGTAAAGATTTACAGCCTTGGAAACCCTGTATAGGGTCGCTATGAGTCGACCGACTCCATGGCACATAACAACAACAACAATAGTGCATTCATAGCTACATTCTATATAGCAGTTAAACAAACAATGCAGTTATATATACTAATATGCTCACAATGTATCTGTAAATGGAAAAAACAAATTGCAAGGAATGAAATATGTCTGTGTATGTGTTTATTTTTTAATACTCTATATGTATTGCTACTAGGGTTCCAGTTCATACATGCACAGATTCATTCTAAACAAGATGTGTTAAAACATGGGTCTGCCATCACTGAAGGGCTGCACAAATTCTCTCAATAAAACACTTGTCTTGCTGTCACTGTATAACGAATACTTCATTGCTATCTTACCACATGAAGAGATACAACAGCTGAGGACTCTAGACTCATGAAAAGAGAAAGGCTGTGTGCTGGCAGCCAAGAAGCAGGCTGACAGAATGTGCTCTTTGGCTGTTTAAATGATTATATATTCCTGAGTGTTTCTGTGTACCTCAAAAAAAAAAAAAAAAAGAGGGAATAGATGCAAATTCTGTTGAATGATAAAGCACGAAGGGGACTGTAATCATTGCAATGAAGTAAAACCGAAAACAACAACAACAACAAAAAGAGTTCAAGAGCAAACATGTCAGTTTGAGGACAGAAGTATGCTTGACCCAAGCTTCAGTATTTTTAAAAGCCTCATGTGCATCTGAAAGTTGGACAATGAATAAAAAGACTATAGAAGTATTGATGCATTTGTGATACAGTGTTGGAGAAAAATATTAAAGGATTCCATGGACTACCAGAAGAACAAACAAGTCTGTGTTGGAATAAGTACAACCAGAATGCTTCTTAGAACCCATGATGGGCCCAAATTGGTCTCTCATACATCAAACATGTTATCATGTCCTTGAAGAAGGACATCATGCATGGTAAAATGGAAGGTCAGCAAAAAAGAGGGAGAACCCCAACCAGATGGACTGGTACAGTGGCAGCAGCTATGGGCTCAAGCATAGCAGTGATCAAGAGGTAGGCATAGGATAGGGAAGTGTTTTCTTCTGTTGTTCAAAAGGTTGCTGCTATTCAACTGCATGTAACAAAAGCAAAGGGGTAATAATGACAAATTTTCTCAGCATACACAAGACAATTTAAAAGGATTTTTTATGAAGAAATTTAAAGAAAACTGAAAACTGCAATGGTGAGAATTAGGACAGGAAAGTTACATCAAGAAATTCTTTTCCATGATGACAGTGCACCTGTTCAATCTCCAAGGGTAGCAAAAGATGTCCTACAAGAATTTTATAGGGAAATTGTACCCATTCATCTTTCCTCCTTCAGTCTTTTTTTGTTTCCAAAATTCAGAAAACATTGAAAAGAAACACCATTTAAGTCCCTGAAGGATACCAAAACTGCCCATTTTGATGTGGTATAAACTGAAGAGCAAAGAAGGATTAGCAATGAAAACACAGCCTTCAGAAATATATAGACTTAGATAGAGAATATGACAAGACAGATCAGCTTCACATTTTGGTATCTTTGTTTAATACAGTCTTCTATCATTTCATAGGAATACTTTTTAAATTATCCCTTGTACCTATCTGGATGTATCTGCCTATATCTGTTTATAAAACCATTAAATATTTGTAATATGCATAAAAAATATCCAGTAGCTTTACAACAAAACTATATCCAATAGTTTTGCAATGATTGAATTTGTCTGTAAAATGGAAAAGGGGGAATAAGACAAATGAGAGTGTGGAGAAGAAAAATGTTTATTTTTCATTTAAAGGAAAAAGACCCTCCCACTCACCCACCCACCCACCTACTGACTGCAATTCAATTTTGACTCACAACAACCTTACATAGTTTTCTGAGACTCTAAATATTTACGGGAGCAGACAGTCTCATCTTTATCCTTCATAGCACCTAGTAGGTTTGAACTGCAGACCTTCCCTTTCTCAGCCCAATGCCTAACCCATAATGCCACCAAGGCTCATTTCACTCTCCATAACATATATATATGTATATGTATATATATATATATATATGTACATAGGTATATATCCATCCTTCAGAGGGACGGATAGAAAACATAACTACTTTAAAACATTTTAGGAAAATAAACCATCCAATTCTAAGCTTAAAAAGCACCCATTTGCTTTAGTACAGTGATATTATCAGAGGTTGGTAATAAGCTTACCTTGAAGGGTTCCAAGAAATACAACTACAGCTTAGCTTACATGAGATCTCATGCTGCAGAGACCACTGACTAAGATTCATAACATCTGGTGCCTCGTATATTCTTACTATACCATCAGCTGAACAGGTTGCTAACATAAGACCCATATGCTTGGGAGCAAATTTCACATCAGTAACTGATGTTCTGCTATCCACTAGAGTTGTCCTCTTAACCTGAAAAATTAATAATTTAAATTATATATATAAAAAAGACAAATAATCAAGCAGGATAAAAACATGAAAGAAAACAAGAAAAAGGCAATTATAGTGGGGAGTGATAACATTTTATCAAGTGCCTCAGGTGTACACCACCCCAACCCACCCTCTCGCCACAGAATAAAAATATATACCTTACCCAGTGACTCTGTCCACGCAATTTATCATTTGATTCTCCTACAATTTCTTCCCATACAGCAGCTGTTCGATCAAAAGAACAGGAAGCTAAAACCTGTCCAAATTCAGGATGAGCCCATGTCACACGCCACACAGATCCACTATGTGTCTGGAAATTTTAAAAAAAGGGCAGATATTCAATACTTACATTTTTTAACTTCTAGAAAATATTCTATAATTATAATTGTTCTCCCTCTACAGTTAAATTCTTTTAAGATTTTACTAATAAAGATAAATACTTCATCAGCTAAATAGAGCAGAGGCTGACTGTGGAACAGACCATCAAATGTTTATATGCAAGTTCAGGTTGAAGTTGAAGAAAATTAAAACAAGACACATGAGCCAAAATATCGAAAATCCCCAACCTGAATTTGTTGTTGTTATGTGCCATGGAGTCAGTTCCGACTCATAGCAACCCTGTATAGGGTTTCCAAGGCTGTAAATCTTTACAGGAGCAGAAAGCCTCATCTTTCTCCCACAGAACGACTGATAGTTTTGAACTGCTGACATTGAGGTTTGCAGCCCAATTCGTAACAACGCTACCAGAGCTCCTTAACCTGAATTTAGAGACCATCAAAAAAACGGACTGGGTGCATCACATATTAATTATAGAAGACCAAAAGAGTTGTGGTTGTAGGAAAAGAAAGATGGCATACTAGGCAGAAAGGCTGTGTGGGCTCTCTGAAAAAGGATATGGAAAACCAGGAAAACAGATACAGAGGATGGTTCTGGAACTCTGTCCTCCAGAGGGACGGATAGAAAGGTAAATCGAGTGCTTACTGGGAGACAAAGTTAACTGGACATAACAAGAGATGAGGTAACTGATGAGAAGCAGCACACAACGGAACCTACAGCAGCCACCTTGAAAGTTCATGAACGGCTTTAGAGATGAGTAAAAATATTTGGGGCAAAAACCTATCTGTGGTTCACGGAGACTAAGGTGCAATTTATTTACTTATTTTCTCTTACTTTTTTTTCTGACCAGCATACATCCCCAGGGAATCTCCAGCTTTCCAGTCAGTTGGGACCATTTTTAAGATAGTAAGCCCAGGGAGGCGCTAAACACAATAAACCCACTAGAGCAGGCTCGGATCCAAAATCTGCAAAGTCAACCCTGGCCAGCCCTGAACTGGCTCTCACTAGGGGAAAGGGTAGAACTGATACATAGAGTAAAGGACATAAAAAAAATTTATTTTAAAAACAGACAATCTGTGTGGACCTGTCCTGCAGACACAGCTTAGCCAGTTTGTACTTTCTCAGGTGGCTGTGAAGGCAAGAGACCACTAGGTGGCAGACCTCATCACCTACTGGCAGAGAAAACCATTGACTGACCTAGCAGTGTGGTCCATTTTTGTTTGTTTTCTTTCTTTATGTTTGGTTTTTGTTTTCATTTTGCTTCTTTGTTTCCCTTCTTGCACCACATTACTGTGGCCATTCAGCCAAGCCACATCTATTCCCTCAAGAGCCCCAACAACTGGGCAAGAGACAATACCAGCTGCTATACACCACAGCAGTGAATACAACCAACATCTGTATGAAAAATGAACAAAGAATCTCATCTCCTGATCTCACCCACCAGGAAGCAATTGGTGAGTGCCAAAGAATACATCAACATGAACTCATCAGTGGCTGCCAACCATACAATGACAGAGAACTTCTAGAGACTGAAGTCGGATTCATAAGAGGACGTGGAACGAGGGATATATCACCGCTGATGTCAGAGGGATCTTGGCTGAAAGCAGAAAATACCAGAAAGATGTTTACCTATGCTTTATTAACTACGAAAAGGCTTTCAACTGTGTGGATCATGACAAACCACTGAGTGTTCTGGAACATTTAAATGTGCTCATTAGGAGGGAACAAACAAGACGGCGGATTGGGTGGACATATAGCAGAGAGCTCCGCCAACAACACAGAATACCCGACCAAGCAGGTTCAGGGGATGGTCCCAGAACTCTGAACCACATATAAAGGAATACTTCGAAGGTTGGAAGGCTCACAGGTGGGGGAATTTGTGGTAGAAGCAAGAAATCCATTGCTTTCTAGTCCGGGACGCTCAGCTGCGCCAGGAGCCGCCATCTTGGGTGAGACCACGTGGGGAAAGGATCGAAGCGGTCACAGACGCCTGGCAGAACTCCTGAGATAAAGGTTTGGACATTCTTTTCTTTTGGTATCTGTTCATTGGTCCCTTGCTGTCTGTGCACCTCCACTCGGGTGACTATAGGGGAGCCTGAGCTAGTGGGCACCCCAGCCTCACCCTCGGAGAGTTCTACTACACATACGCACAGATCTCCTTGAAATTTAAAGACACAGTTTCCAATTAAAACCAAACGGCCACAGCTGGCCCTGAACTGTTTCAACTAGAAAAAAGGACTGAACAGAGATTGCGGAGTGGGACAAGCTGACCAAAGAGGAAATAGGCTGAAAATTAAATCCTAAGTTACGTCAAAACGACCAACAGTGGTATCTTGAAACTTCTCAGGAAGAAGAGTGAAAAGGGAAAACCATTTCATGATCACATCTACCTGGAGGCACTCAGAAAGCATAAAAATACCAAAATACACACCCATCTAAGTAGTAAGGCCACAGATAACCCCTGAAGATGCTCAAATAACAGAAGCAGATGACCATATATGCACATGTCCAGAAACGAGATAAAGTGACTGAGGCAAATGAGCTGGAAGGAGACCTACACTCCATACTGGAAGATGGGCAGGCTTTGGAAATGACTGAGAAAGAATTCAGAAAAATGATTATATAATATATCAAAACACTATAAAATGTAGTTGAGAAAAATAAGGAAGAAGTCAGGAAAGTGCTACAGGAAAAATCAAGTAAGACAGATAAGAGGATTGGAAACAATTCAAAATCTACAGAAAGAGGTCCAAACGATTAATAATAGAATATCAGAAATGAACAATACATTGAAAGGGCAAAGAAACAGAACTGAAGAGATAGAAGCTAGAACTAGTAAGCTAGAAGATAAATCTCTAAACACTACTAAGATAGAAGAACAAATACAAAAAAGGATAAAAAAATCTGAAGAAAGCCTAAGATTCATGTTGGATAACGTACAGGGTCGCTATGGGTCGGACCGACTCAACGGCACTTAACAACAACAACACAACATAAAGAGGAATAACATAAGAATTATTGGCATTCCTGAACAGGAACAATCACACAAGCCTACAGAGGAGATAGTTGAAGAGCTTCTGGAAGAAAACTTCCGAACATCATGAAAAGTGAAAAGATAAGTATTCAAGAAGCTCAACGAACCCCAAGATGGATAGACCCTAAAAGACAATCACCAAGACATATAA